TTCTTGCACAATTTACTCCCGAACTATTGGAAGGTACTCGAAAAAATGTTTCAGATAAAACTTACTTTGTTTCGAAGAAGACATTCTACGAGATAAGCATGGATTATTTTTTTTAAGACACCTCTGAGATTTAAAAAACGTCGAACTAACGGAATTGATGTACATGTAAGCCGCTGTTCTCGACGTTCCACGTGAAATTTTTACATAAGTGCGTCTCGCAATGAGGATAATTCAAATTTCAAAGCACTGCGGACTTTACGCGAATGACGTTCTAAAAAGAATGTGATAACTTTCGACCGCGTCTCTTGTACGACGAGAATCTTTTCGAAGAGGTTGCCGGTTGAAGTGCGTGCGAACTTCTAGCTACAGAGCAAAAGAAAATATAAGACACACACACACGAGCGGTATTGCAATTACACCCTTTCTCTCTCTCATCCAAACGGGGGAATTTAATAAGTTGCGAGAGTTTCTTCCACTAGTTTGGGAAAATCGTCCGGACGGAAGAGCGCGTATTCGGAAAAATCTTATCCAAACAAAAAGCAACGCGGATTCTCTCCGCTCGATCTCTTCCGCGAATGATTTGTTGTGGTCCACACACATTTGTTGAAAACGTGTGTTTTTGCATAAACGTAACGTCATTAGACGTAAAATTCGCGAGAATCCCGAAAGAATTTGCGACATAAACTCACCGTGAACAAAAATGGCTTTACGAGGTTTCTTCGAAATCGCATTTAAGTGCGCGCGCGAATTTTCCTTTTCGAAATAAAGAAAAAACGCTTAATTTATTACAGACATCCGAACGCGTGTTTCACCAAGAGCGTAAATTGCTTCGCAAACAGCTTGTTTAACGATTTAAAATAAAATAAATATAACGTAACAGCCGATTTTATTAACGTACTTTTGGAATAACTACCATTTCGAACCGGAAGTCACACCTCAAGACATCTTTATTATTAAAATAATTAATATTATTATTAAAATAAATATAATCACAAAGAAAAAAGCCGGAAAACATTTATTTTAAGATCGTCGGAAACTTTCGCGCGACTTCGGATTCGTTCGAAAAAAAAAAAAAACAGCTGAAACTTGTTCGGCGCGATAATAAAGAAAGACTATTACCACATCTAGTTGCTGAAAAAAACGTCGTATCATTCAAATACGGGCTCGCATTAAATTCCCATCTCACCGATGCCAGCCGCCCGTATATCACTCCGCGTGTGAAAAAAACAAACAAAAAAAAAAAAAAAGATGTGTGACCGACGTCGGATTGGAGCCATTACGTGTAAAAACTGACGTCTCTCGGCCGGTTTTCAGCGCGGCCATATGTCACTATATCGACCGCGATTGCAGTTTTGCCTCGTATGTTAATAAAAAGACACGCCAACCAGCCATTGTGTCGGTTGGCGTTGCCGAACAATGCCCGGTAACTCACGGATCGATCCATCGCTTTGCGGGAGAATGCGAAAAAATCTTGTTTCCACTTTTTCCCGTCGAACAAACGATAAAGAAAGCTTCGTGCGCGCGCGCGCGCACACACACACACACACACATCCGCGCCTTTTCTATATCGCGTACAAATCGTAAATCCGAATTATTTGCGAATTTATATCAAGCGAAGCAAGCTGGGAAAAAATCAAATTGCCAACAACAGATCGGCAAGCATCTCGTATGTGTGTATATACATATATGTAACACGTCCGTCTCTCTCTGCCTAACTTACGACCGATTGAGGGAGATACACGTGAAATATGAAAAAATAAAAATAAAAACAAAAAGAATAAAAAATCTCAATTCTATACGTCTCTTCTCTCTCGAACGGATGATAAAATCCGCATCGCTCTCGATACATCTTTTTCTTTTTTCTCTTTTCTCTCCTCTCAAACTCGTAAACTCAAATTATTCGCAAAGTAATATCAAGCCCGATTGCGAAACAAAATCAAACGAGAAGGAATGGAGTAGCAGAGAAAAGAAAAACTTATCGGGGAATCGTATCGCCAACTTTGTACACTTCGCTCATTCACTTGCGCGCACAGAGACTCAAAAAAAATTTACATCGCTCTCGCGTGCGCGAAAAAGAACAAACAAGAAAACACGGCGAGAACTTCGCGGAGAGAGAGAGAGAGAGAGGGTCTTCTCTTTTATTTGCGCAAACAAAAAAAAAAAAACAAATAAATAAAACTCAAACTCGATAACACGTATATATCGCGTATACATGCATTCGCCGCGTATATACACATATCATCGGCAATTGAGAAGGACAAAAAAGCGAAAAATAAAAGTTTTTTTCGGATATTTGCGCGTTGAGGAGAAAAGAGCACCTTAATTATAAAAAAAAAAAAAAAAGAGAGAAAGATTTAGTATATTTAAATGAGAAGGAATGTAATTTTGGAAGATTGCAGGATAATTGAGGCAGCTTTAGTTCACCGTGTTACAATCTAGAACCTGGTCTTGCGAGGGTTAATCGACCTGCATACAAAACGTGAGCGATGCTGCGAGCAATTTGCCGTTTTTCTCGAGGCATGCAGTCCGTTCTAATTTACAGGAACGCCCGCGACAATCAAAGTGCCGAGTGTTCCGACTAAAAGGAGGAAAATGTACTTTGCCCGCCGCGCTTTGTTGATGGTTCAACGGAGATTTTGCTTTGACGACAACGCGATCAATTTGGCGCGAAATTACGATTTTCTGAGAAACACATTTTGTACATTGCACGACAATCTTTTACATTACGCCGCAAGTCGGTTCGGCAAACTGTGTGTGCCCCGTCGCTTGCTTTTTTTTTTTTTCTTTCCTTCCGATTGTTCCATGAATATTACTCCGTTTTACGTTGTTCTCAGCAGCGTTTCCTTTTTGGTATTTAATATTTTTTAGTTGCGAATACAGCGCGCGCGCGCGCGCGCATACACACACACACACACACGCCATACACACGCACACACACATAATGAAGCAGGAAATTGCGTGCACTGACTATTCCCTTGCGATATGCAGGCTGCGATAAAGTGAAAAAATTCAGCTTTGAAATTGCGTTGGGAATTCTGCAATAAGATAAAAATTAAAACCAAGTTTCAGAGAAATGGAAAAAAATGTGTAATAAATTTTTTTTTAATTTATTTAAATTTAAGTTAACTCTTCGGCGGAAAATTTTTATTTGTATAAACATCATCGTCAAAATTGATCAGGAAGTGTTAACACGATTAGTTCGTTAAACTTGTTACATCCTGTGTAAATACCGCGACACACACACACACACACAACTAATCTTATGAAAATTTAATACTGGTCTAGCCGAAATGATACTCGAGTATTGAAAGTACTGTTCAATAACATTTCGCCACATCAGTATTAACTTTCCGCAAGAGAATATTCATTTAGCATATTGTTTCATAACTCAGTTGTAAAAAATTAAAATTAAAAAATTGAATTCGATCGCAATATCTAAATTATAAAGTTATATCGTATGGCATTATGAAAATTTTGCTAGAAACGAGAATTACGTTTCACACGATCATTAATACGTTAAACATGTATGCGGCCGCAGAAAATTTGAATTTGAATTTCGTGGATATTTTTCATTTTTTTTTTTGAAGAAGAATAAACAATAATACACGCGTATAGAAAAATATCAATATATAATCGCGTATGTATTCATAATCTGTGTTTAAAAAATTGTACACATATCACAATTTGTGCAAGACTTTGACCGAAACTGAAATAAAATACATGTGGAATAATGGAAATTTAAAAGCAAATTCGAATTTGCTAAAATTTAGCGGGAAAAAGAAGATTCTGAAATCGCCAGATATATAATTTCTGCCTTGCGGCAATGAAAATTTTATGCAAAAACGAACACGCTTGATGTGCGGTGAAATTTTCCCGTCACATTTTCCTAGATTGTCTATCTATCTCATCAGGAAGGCAAAATCCTCGAAAAGTTAAGCGAGTCTGCTGCCTGTCGGGGGCGAAATGACAAATATGTATACTAATCGGGCGCGAGATTGGACTCGAGATCGGCTTTCGTCGTTATGCCGCCGATGAGAGAAAACAAGATTTTCTCCCGACAACGCTTTGTCGTTGCCCTGTCGGTGTCTTCTCGTGCGCGGACACTATCGCTTTACGCGAAATCAGATTCCGTCGCGAAAGCAGCTTACCGCCGAGATCGGGGAGTGTATACGCGTGTACCCATCAAATCAATTTTGTCGTATGTACGTATATATATGTATATATATATATATGTATATATATATATATATATATACTCTGCGTTCCAGCTTTTCTGCTAACGACAGATCCGCTGGCAAAACTAAATCTGATTTTTCCCGCGAAGAAAAATCTAATACGAAGATTAATTGTGTGATAACAGAGAGAACCGACAATATCCGATATATAAGAGATTTAAATATTTCAGCGAGATATGTGGTTAAAATCCAATCAAATTAGATAAATCTTTTTTTTAAGATAATTTAATTATCTAAAAAACTAATCAATATGTGAATATAAGTAATACGCTCGCTCGTAATATAAATAACAAAGTGGAAGATATTAACAAGATGAAATCGTGGTCATTAACACTGAAGAAGACTCAAGTCGAGAGTCGAAATGTCGTTTGTGTAATTTTGTACTTTGCGACATTTTTGTTGACTTTTAATTATAATATCAAAAAATCTCTTATATTGCTCAATTTGACCTTGTTAGCGTCTTTCACTTTCTAATCGATATGTTCAAGATTACAATTTTTTTTTTTTAATTTTAATAAAACGATATTCTTGAACATTTCTTGAAGCTGTTGTTATGCACATTTCAAACTTTACTTCTGTCACAGATTTTTAAACTAGTATTAAAGTCGAACACACTCTCTTAATCAAATATAACATTTGCCAAGCCAATTTCCTTTCGGATAATTCATACGCATCGCCGGTGTAATACAGTAGTGGCGCAATCCAAAGCACGAGGCCTCGAGGGGAAGTTTGGTTTACGGCGAGAGGAAGTGAAAGCTACTTTACCGGTTCGTCGTTGATGGTCCAACGTAGATTGGCCTTGGGTACTGACGGCCAGGCAGTGCAATTGGCAGTGACGTTCTCTCCGACGGCGTAGTGCGTGGACATGCCCGTGATTTCCGGTCCTCTCTCCGGCGGCGCTGCGAACGTAAATTTTCCGTGTGAGGACGTGGCAAAAGTTTTCCCATAAACCAGTTACTTTGCTCCGGTTAGACTCTATAAACTTTCGACTATTATCCGGAGTTCTCCGCTCCTCGAACGTTCGTTTCATTCTATCCACGTCGAGGAGACGACGAGGAACAGAGGAAGGAAAGAAATCAGAAGGAGGGTTTTCTCACTTTGCGAGAAACGAGAGTTTAGAGGAGCGAAATAGCGACACGAGATGAATTTTCCGGACGTCAACGTCCCTTTCATTTTGTTACATGACAAGTAGTCTACCGGTTTGAGAAATGTTTCTACTCTATTATACGTTATAATATTATATATATATATATATATTATATTATACTATATATAATATATATATATATTATATTATAACGTATAATAGAGTGTATATAATATATATATATATATGTATTTCATCGCTGGTGCTGCTTTTTCTCGCGCGATTTGAATCGCCGTTTACTTTTGTTGAAACAATTTCCTGGTCTTCCAACTGGCAACGCAGTTGGAAGCCGGGGTAAGTTTTGCACGTTTTCGCGCGACCGCCACTGCTCCGCTCAGCACGAAGGGAATTAATTTTCAATTAGGTCGGGCACGTGACTTTTCTCCCGTTCGTGATTAAACGAAGAGGCCCGTAACTTCGATCCCACGAAGATATCAACTTTCAGCGAATGATGAAAATACATTTCCTTGTGATTAGACGCGAATCATTTAATGCGTACTTGTTTGGATATACAGATAATTGTGTGAATAAATAATAAAAACATCAGCTGTGTGTGTGATATACGTACGTTCTATCTATAATATACACAGCGATAAATTACGCAAATAAAATTACGCTATTGCAACGTGCCCGACTGAAACAATTGCACTCGAAACTCACGGAAGCGAAAAATTGTTAAATTTCACTCACGTTTGACATAGAATAAATATTCCATGTGTTTACAACAAAACAATAGCTCAATAGCCAAGAGCTACAATTTTCTGGATAATTAATTTCTCTACTAATAATTAGATTTAACTGTTACGCTTTCGAAGGTACTACTATCGCGTGATTTGCAAACGAGGTTTCATAGGTTACAATCTGACCAACAACAACATGTTGATTATACAATACAATTTTATATACTGGTTCGTTATATTTTCAGAGAGAATTTGCGTTTTTTATTTCTTAAACAAAATAAAAAAATCTAACGGAAATTAAGAACAACATTTGCGTGTACGCGCCTCTCTCTCTTCAATCATATTTGATTCTTTTGAAATCAATAAATTTTTCTATCACAAATAAATTTAACTTTTATTTCCGCGATAATATTTTAATTATCAAAAGTTGAAGCAATTATCAAAAATTATCACGCACACGTTTTTGTGAGCTAAAAACTGATTCGCTCCCAAACAAACTTTAGAATAATAGATAATCTCCGATTTTTTGCGGTGTTCATGTTATGGACTATCGCACATGCGTCGATCCACAATCAATTATCGGATTTATCGCCCACCGCTGGATGCGTCGTGTGTGTGCCGGTGTGCTCGATGTCTCTAATAGCGTTAATTGGCACGCCGGATTATGAGAGACATTCACGTTCGAACGGGCGCGACCAAATGCTCAATTAAACATCCGTTCCCCGTTGTCCGAGAGCACACGTTGCAGCAGCACATCGGCGCAACTCCACCTCGGATTTGGTCCATTAATGCCTTCCGCTCGTCGAAATATCCGGAGCGCAATTAAAACCTAGAATTTCGGGCGCGTCACGCGCCGGGAATCCCGACCAACGCCACCGGCGTCGTTGTCGATTTCGCATCGGGTGAAACGCGAACGAGCGGAAGATGGGAAAGCGTAAAAGGGCGGAAAGGGTGGCGGCGAGTAGGTATCGTGGAAAAGTGGGAAGGGCCGGAGCAAAATTTCCGAGAAATTGCGGAAAATCGCAGACGCGGGCGGTTAGAGCGAGCGAATACGCGCTGTCGAAAGTTCCGTCATGATAATTTCCTTGCGCATTAAGCTTGCGTACGGGGCCAATTATTTCGTATATTATATTGCCTCAGAGGAGCGGAGTTTCATTTACGACAATGGTCGAACAATGGTTGAACAATGGTCGAACAATCGTGGTTTGTTTTGTTTGAATTGAAAAACGAAAAACACAATATTCTATCATCACGTTCGAGTTTATACAAAATGAACAATAATATGAATTTAACAACAAGTTTCGGCTCATGTAGTATCAGACTAGCGTAAATTAATTCGCGAGCGAGCCAATGTGTCTGCACGATAGGTGTTCGTGCGAAATATATATTTTTTATTTTAAAAATTAAACATTCTAGATGTGAAATTTCAAATTGAAATCAATTCAATCTATTACGTGTATTAATTTACACGTTTAAAATAAATAAAAAATATATTTCGCACGAACATATCTGTGACGTCGTTGGACGTCCGAATTAATCTTCGCTCATAGTTCGAACGACAATCGAATAATTTTTTTTCGCACAAGTAACAAAACTAACGTACAGACATAAAATTTCCTCACGACTTGATGATCTCGGTTGATCCAAAATCTTTCTGATTTTCTTTTTTTGTTAGAATCTTGAAATAGTTTTTTGAAGTTCCTTACAAATGTCGCGGAAGTTACGGAGTCGCGCGTCATCGATTTTCTCGATGAGAATCGAAAATAACGCGCATACCGAGAGGCTACTGGACCGAAATCAGAAAGAGAGGAAAGAAATTTGTCAGGATTGCGGAAAGTTGGATAACCTGACGCTCTGCCAGGATTCGAGCATTCGCCACGCTAGCGCATTCGGCCGCGCGGAAAGTATTCCCGCTGCAATAACTTCGCCGACAGTGATTTAAGCGCGTAATTACGAGGGTTATTGCAAGCACGGAAGGATTTTTTTTTAATTTTTTTAATTTTTTTTCCTTCTCTTTTTTTGCCAGAATTTAATATGCATAACGGCGAAGTCTTGTGCGCCGCGTTAAAAACTCTACTACTCGCGCACGAGGCGCGCTCGATTTATGTCGATACACATAATTAACACACCGAGATAATGAATAATAACAAGACAAACACATATATTGTTAGCGTGAAATTAAAAAAAACTTGAATACATTAAATAAAATGTATATTTACATAAATAAATAAAGATCAAATAATATTGAAATTATACACAATTGCACGTACTTTAAACAAAACCTTGTTTTGTTTCTTGTACTATACAAAATTATGTGTACACACGAAATTGTTGTTACTATACAATTTGGTTTATCACCGACGTTGCGGAATCTGATATTTATTTTCATCTGGCGGAACGTCAGATCTAGATATCCGCAAACGCATTACGTTCCGAAGCCTTGAGTAAAACGTTTTTCAACGAAAAATGTGATTTTCTGTCAAAATGTTTTTTTTTTTTTTTTTGCTCCCTTCGCTCCCGAACCATGTAGTAATCCCGATATTACATCGTTCCGAACATTTTCTGGCGTAATAATTTCTCCGAGAGTTAAGTTCCTAATTGAGAGGGTTGTCGGGAGAAGATAGCCTGCTTTCATATTCCGCGGTAACTTCACGTACAAAATGAAATTGCTTTTTGAAGGCACTGCAATTTATATGGATTGCGAACCTCGCGGCGTCTTTATAAAGCATGAAATGAATATTAAACTGCGAACGATTTAATCCAATTAATTTCCTGACGCGCTCGAGCAAAATTCGTGTAAGCAGGAGCGAAGAAAAATAGTTCGAGATCATCAATAGAAATAATTTATTTGCAAATTGTTGAGTTTGCGCGCATGAATTAAAGTTGAAACAACGCGCCTTTATACAATGAAGAAGAGAAAGAGAGAGAGAGAGAGAGGAGAGAGAGAAGAGATTAATCACAAACAGTGAGTGAAAAATATACAGTAAGTTTTCCGTAATCATTTAGGCAACACATATTGTATAGGAAAGCGAAGTGGCGATGCGTGACGTGCAACTAATTGCTGTTGAATTAAGTTTGCGAGGTAGCACATTCCCGATGCAACATAACTCACTGACACACATTGACTTAATTAGCAATTAAAACTTTGCTGACGTAGCAAGAGAAAGAGCAGCTCGTATGGTTACACATGTCTCTCATTTCAAATCCCATAAACATTGTACAACATTACTAATTATTCTGACGATCGCGATATTAATACAATATCATACCTTACATTGTATGAATGTGATAATCGGTACACCTGTTATTTATCGAAATTTACAACGTTTTTTATTTTTTTTTATCTCTCTCTCTCTCTCTCTCTCTCCTATAGATAGCTGATTTGTAATTTCTATATAAATAATATATTAATAGTGGCATTTTCTATCTATGTCAATTTTTTAAATTTATTTTCTCTCCTTTATCTCATCTTTCTGTTGTTATATTTTTTTATCGCGTGTTGTATACGTTAGTTTTTTCTTTTTCCTTCATTTGTGTCATATTTATTATCTCGGAATTATTTAAAGGATTGTTCCACAAATATACCTAACTGAGACGATAAAGTGCAATTTTTTTATTTTCTCGAAACTTCTGTTTTCTTTAATGTGGATTTGTTAATTAAAAAGACACGTGTATCGACAGTGTGTCTATTGCGAGAAATGTGTCTGTTTTATCTTTTTAATAGCGGTTTTGATGTTGGTTTCCGTTTCGTGAAATTCGCGAACCGATGACATCGGTATGCTCGCAATACCCCACGTTGCGGCCGGTAGATGCAGTAGCTTGTTTTCGTTGCAACCTTCCTCCTCGAACGGCATTCGGTCCGCCATTCCGCAAACCTGGTTATAACACGCTCGTACGATCGTTGTCGAGGAAATGAATTTTCTTCACAACACAAGGGCTTGTGCAAGGCACACCCTTACACTTCTTAGGGCGGAAAGTGTAGGGCAGCCGAGAGAAGGAGGGTCGAGCCTTTCCACAGCTCTAAGCTTGGCTTCCTCCTATTCCATTTCGGTCGTAACAACGACCGCGCAAC